ATCCACGAGAGCGGCATTGACCGCAATTCTGATACAGCCACGACATCCAACACGCCCAGACCCATCCTCGCCCCACCGTCACACGCGCCGACCACCACCACCGCCACCATCACCAGCACCACTGCTTCCTCTACAGCTGACATCGACACCGCCAACCTCTCATGCCCACATTGTCCACGCACCTTCACCTCACGCATCGGCCTGGTGGGTCACTTGCGAATCCATCGCACAGAGACTGGCGAACCAGTGCCTGGAGCACCAACCTACACCCACCGCACTCGCGTCCACTGTCCACACTGCCCTCGCACCTTCACGCACCGCGTGGGTCTATTCGGCCACATGCGCATCCACGACGACCTGCGGTAGACAACCGCCGGTCACACCACACATTCCCTCACTCCCTACCTCCTAACACCATCACCCCACCAGACATCAACCCTCACACACCTCATGCACACAAATGCCGCCTCCCACGCAAGTGGGAAGTGTGCATCTCGACTCGGTTCCCACGCGGCTTCGGCTGCACGGGCGACTTGTGTCCGAGACTATCCCGACACGTCAAGCGTCGTGGATAGGTAGGTTGCTGATTGAGGCCCGCTCTCGGTTCACGCAGTTCGTCACGTTGTGTGTGTGTGTGTGTGTGTGTTGTGTGTAGTAGCGGACTGGTGGGCTGGAGACGGGCTGCAACAGCACCTTCCACTGCACTCTCACGCAAGTGAGAGACACGCCGTTCAACCCCCGTTGTGTAAAATCCTGGTGTTTGTGTGTATGGGGGGCCAGGTCGTGCTGTGGCGCGCGCACTCATGGTCCGTCGACCATGACAGCCACCGCGCCCACTCCCCACTCCAGTCTGCTGACCGGCTCGGACAGCGGCTGGGGTGTGGGAGTGGGAAGGGAGAGTGAGGTCGACGACTCAGCGCACTTTCTCCTCACTATAATCAATCTGACGCGCTTGAAGCTATCACGGTGCGCTAAAAGCCGTGGCTTGGAAGGTTGCCAACTGACGGGGTACCTTGGACCTCCTCCTTGACCGGAGGCGGTCTGAGAGTCAGGCTGCAATGGCTCCTTTTGAATGTGGCCTTTATGGCACTCCTACCACAGTGTGGGATCCGAGCCAGGCGTTGGCGGCACGCCCAGGTGCGGCTTCGGCCGTGCCAGCCTCCAAATCTCTGTTGTGTTGGTTGAAATCCTGGTTATTGTTGAGTGGACCAGGGGGTGCGGAGTGGAGCGCCAAGGCGAAGACCCGTCCGAGCCATCCACCTGCGGCCTCCCCCGTCTCCGGTCTTCTTGACTCTGTCTTGACACCGGGCTCAGGCGGGGGAGGAGGAGAGAGTGTAGGTAGATGCTACGCAAGTCTACTTGCACTATAAACCCCTGCGTAAGTCACCGTCCCTGCTCCCACAATGCAGTCTGTGGGGCACACGGTGGTCATCGTCGAAATCGACGGACGAACTGTCGTGTGTGTGTGTGTGTGTGTGTGTGTGTGTGTGTGTGTGTGTGGCGTTTTTGATGTCTCGGCTAGTCTCCCCACGCGCCGGTTTGCGAATTTGCGTGGGCGGCTCTGAGCGCCCATCGGAGTTACTGTTATTCAGCCACCCTGTCGTCCGGCTACATGCAGTGTGTCCTAAAACATCAGCAGATTACTATCAAGCATCGCCACCTGCGATTAAGCGGGTGGTTGTTACGGAGACTCAATACCTTGGTCAAATCAATCACACTCTGGCTCTTCCATGCCGCCGGTAATTCGACCGCCGATTTCGACAAGGCAGAGGAACGTTCATTGATCGTTTGTATGCGTGGACTTCTAACTAATAGGTCGCGAGGTCGAGCCTCGGGTTTCCACACTTCGGGGTTGGGTATGACTGGCTGACGACGGCTAATAAGCTGGAAATGGCCATTCCAGTCTCCCTTGTCTTTGTCAGTAATGACATACTGCCTAGACCACGCGCCGCTGTGCGGCTGCTGGTTGGGCTTGAGAGAGAGCCCGTAATGCGCAAGGGAACGAGTGAGTTCCGTAAGAACGATCGGTGAGCGTCCCCTACCATTGTATATTCCTGATCGAAACCTATAGGGCAACGGACTCGTGGCCCATTGGTTGGAGGCGTGGACTTCTAACTAATAGGTCGCGAGATCGAGCTTCGAGTGTGGCACACTTCGGGATTGGGTATAGCTGGCTGATAGCGTCCAAAAAGCCAGCAATGGTCGCTCCAGTCTCTCTTGTCTTTCCACGATGTCCACCGTATGATCCCCGGCAGTGCAAAAGCAGGGACGGTGACTTGCGCGCGAATTAGTTTACAGGAATAGTAGACTTGCACCGCGTCTACCCTACTCCCTCCTTATCCCTCGCCT